CATAAATATCGTTTATGATCTGTAAATATAATTGAGATATAGTATGCGTTGTTGGTTATTTTTTTATGAGAATCTTTATGTAAAATAATTACTGGGTACCAAGGAAAGGGCGGACGGACCCAGTACATAGGAAATCCTACCGTGAATGTTACTCAGTCGAACAGAGTTGAAAAGTCCCTTTACCGAAAAAGTTTAGGAGATATAATTCACCCTCATACCGGACGGGGTATCGAGACGATGAAATATTTGGCACTCATTACCGGACAGGGTATGGGAACGACTGATTAATTGTTAAAATTGGATATTGGGTCCATGAGTAGGGGAACATCCCTATGGACCTACAAGGATACCAGTAAACAAGTAAGAAAGGAAAATTATCGTCTCTTGTTCACTTGTGCGTGAAAATGAAAAGTGGTGTAGATATGGATTTTCATATGTTGTTTTTTGGAAAAATCATAACGGTAAGTATCAAACAAATATTTTTAAATTAAATATATTTAATTTAAAGTAAGGGTTCCAATAGTTGTTTTTTTTTTATTTTTACCAATATTCAGTTTTCTGTATCAGTGAGTAGTGTGATATTTTTATTAAGTTAGTGTAACTCATCCTTTCATTAACCATTTTAAATTAAGAGGAACATGATCCAGACCTCGACCAGTAAGAAAGTTGTGAATAGTTTACCTCCCGAACCCCTTCAAGAGCTAGTGAAGGTTAACCCTAAAACATTTATCTATTCGTTTTAAATTATTTATTTAATTTTTTTTTACGAACCACTGCAGTAGGAATATTCTTGTAACCCTATTGAACATTCTAATTTACTGTGTAAGAAATATAAACCCTAATATATTATTCACTTCCACATTTAAATTATAAATTCATTTCTTTTAAGGTTCCAAACCTTTACACAAAGTGGAGAATTTAATTTAATTTTTTTTTTTGTTTATCCTCAAAAGATTTAACATAATTTAGAAGTGATTTTGAAACTTTTTGAAAAATTGAATGTACAATTTTTCAAATTAATTTATATTTATTTTATTATTTTTTAATGTAAAAATTTGATGAAAATTGTATTTTGATGGGATTAAGCTATTTAGAGATTTGATGAAATTCTATTTTTTAATTTATAATTACAGTGTTTCTTTTTTTAATATATTTTACTTATGCATAAAGTTTGTTTTATTCATAATAAAAATATAAAAGTATGTGTAAGTAATTCCAAAATTACTTTAATTTTAGTTTTAAAATATCATAAACTAAAAACACATACAAAATTCAATTCAGAAATGAAAATTTTTAAAAATAATTTTCAATTTTTGAATAAAAATTATAATTTAGAACAAATAAATTAACAGATTTTAAAAGTATCAGTAATTAACACACACCATTTTCTTTAAGAAGAAATGTAAAACTTATCTTTCTCTATTTTATAGATTAAAAAAATTGTATATTTAATTAAAATGGAAAAAACACGTTAATAATTATTATTAAAAGTCAAAACAATCCATTTAAAGCGAATCTTTGATACACAAAAAGGAAAGTCTAGAAGCTTGGATCAGCCATGGAAGGAAGCCCACCGCCCTTCCAAGAACAAAACCCATACACACAATTAAAATAATTCATACGTACACCTCAAATCCATCTCTATAAATTCTCCAAAACCCTCGTTGCTTCTTCAAACAAACTCAAGAAAAAACCAAAACCCATTACCGAATGGCCGAAAACAAGGATACCCAACCATCTTCTTTCAACGACAAAACCTTCAGCGGAGTTGGCAACCTCATCAAACTTCTCCCAACAGGAACTGTGTTCATCTTCCAGTTTCTGAACCCTGTATTGACCAACAATGGCCGTTGCAGTATCATCAACAAGTACATGACGGGTATTTTCCTTGCGCTCTTCGGCTTCTCTTGCTGCTTCTCGTGCTTTACCGACAGTTATAAAGGCCCGGACGGAGTGATTCATTATGGGATAGTGACGGTAAAGGGTCTCTGGCTGTCTACGAATGTAGAAGGCGTGGACTTGTCGAAGTACAAGCTGCGGTTTGGGGACTTTGTTCATGCTTTCTTTCCGTTGATTGTGTTTGGTGTGGTGGCTCTGTTGGATCCTAATACGGTGCATTGCTTTTATCCGGCGTTTGAATCAACGGAGAAGGTGTTGATGATGGTGCTGCCGCCGGTAATTGGTGCTATTTCGGGCACTGTTTTCGCTTTGTTTCCATGCAACCGCCATGGTATTGGGTGCCCTTAAGCTGGTTCTTCTGATAACTTTCCATCACTTTCTTCATGCTAGCTAATGTGCTGCTGCTTGCTTGTTGAATTTCCACGCCCATTCGAGACAGTTGGTTGATTTGTTAATTTTTTTTTTTAATTATTGATTATTAAGGTGGTGTTCATATGTTTTCTTTTCTTTTCTGTATATCATTACAATTATTATTTGTTTCAAACAAACGAAGAAATAGAGATCAAAAGTGATGGAGATGAGTGGCTCATTTTTTAAATGTAATAAAATTGAGTTTATTAATGTAATTTTTTAAAATAAATTACATTCTGGTGTTTGATAAATATTTGTGATTTATTTATTTATTTATTTTTTAAAAGTTATAAAAAATAAAAATAAAAAATATATTTATGAAATTTTACTATTCATTTCTATTCTTAAATCAATTATAATATATTATTTTCGTTTTGGGATCATTTTAAAGAAGAATGTATTTTTTTTACCCAATAATTTATTAACCATAACTTTTTAAATATAATTTATACAAATTAGAAAATATTTTTTTTTACGCATTTTTGCTTTCAAACACCAATACATAATCTAAAATTTAAAGTAACAAAATTCAAAAATAGGAATAAAAAATTAAAAGTAATTTTTTTTAATTTTAATGGGATTAAAATTTTTAGAATAACTAATTAATATATTTCTTTAAAATTTTATTTTAATTTTTAGAATAGTTCAAGTTAAAGACAAGTTAAAAAAAGAAAGAAGAGGAATTAATAAAGGGTAAAGGCTTACTTAAGTAAATAAGACAATAATGAGTTTTGAGTATTTGTAGTAATTTTTAATTCTAAAGTATAGAGAGAAAAAAAAATGAGAATGAAGAGAATTGTAAGCGAGGAAGATTAATAGAAAAGTAAAACAAACGAAGAAAGAAAATTAAAGAAAGAAAAATAAGAACAAATTAATAAAAGCTTAGATATATAAGTGGAAAATTGAAAATATATAAGTAAAGAGAAGATCAATAAATGTGAATAAAACTTAAAAACCTATATGACCATATGTGAAGGGATGTTTGCGTATGTGTGGCAAAGAGTCGGTCAAAGTAGTATGAGTGGAACCTTATCACATGGACGGTAAAGAGCATTGTACTTAATGTGTGTTTTTGATATAAATGAGATTATTGTTCCCAAAGTGGTGTGTGCATGTGTGGGCATTTTAGGTCGAAAAAGGAACTCCATTTGGTGAATGTATATGTTGTTGTGGGTTCACATAGGAGTGAATGCATGTGTAGCCAATTTTGGTTGAATAGTAAACCCCATCTAATGGATTTGTTAAAATGTTTTCCATTGTATTGTGAATGCGTCCATGTTGATAGAGGGGATGCCTATTGATCCTTTTTTATAGTGATTAAAACGACATCCTGATAAAACCTCTTAAAGAGTATGTGATATCAATAAGTTCAAGTAAAGATGAATAAACTACGACGTGTGCTTAAGTGATGTGTGAAATTTGTTTAATCATGATAAATGTAAAAGGATATTGAATGTGAATTATGTTTAGGGGTGAAAAGTGAAAAAAAGGAGTAGAAAAGCAATATAAGAATTCATTAGTGTAAATAAGAAGAAAACTATGAATAGTGAGGGATACGGTAAGAGGAAACGAGAAATAAGTCATTTTGAATGTATATCAGATTGAATGTTTATACATTGCTCATTAACTTTTATAATTAAAAATATTTTTAAAAACATAATGTATCTGTCGGTATTTTTTATTTTTTATGGATTTGATAGATTGTTCTGTGAAGATAACATATTATTTTCTTACTAAGCACGTGAAATTTACCCCAATTCACACCCCTCATTTCATATGAAAATAAAACTTGAGCAAGCTTAGGATTAATAGAAGACCTTGAAGGGACTTTCCATATTTTTATTTAAAATAGTTTGTAAAATATAATTAAATTATGATATTAACAAAAATAGATCAACAGAGAGTCGTGACGTTCAAGATGGTATCAGAGCTCACATTCTTAAGGCATCCCATGTTATATGAGATTTAGGAT